GTGTCGGAGGCTTGGGCTCTGACGCCCAGGCTGGAGAATCTCACCCTCGTTGACTATTCATAAGAAGGATGGGCCTATGAAAGCTCCTTGTTAATATTCATGAGGGGGCGGGCCTTCTTTCCCCTAGGGGTCCTGAGGAGGCTCTAAATTATCCATGAGGTTAGAGAGCACTACAGAGCTTAGACTTTTGAAGGGGCGCAATCTCCTTCCCGCTGGGTTCCCTGGAGGTCTACGTTATTTCAGAAAGAAAGGAGTACCACAGAGCCGTGAAATTTATTATTCATGAGGGGCGTGGCGATGCTTCTCTTCCCCTTGGTCTCCTGGGAGAGTTCTAAATTATCTGTGAGTAGGGTGCTACAGAGCCCAAGTCTTTACTATTCATGAGGGGGCGTGGCTCCCTCCCGCTGGGGCTCCTGGGAAGATTCTAAGACATTCTGGAGGCCCCCCGGGCGGCCTCCAGAGCGCGCGGAGCTGACCGGAGCTGGACCCGGTCTTCCCGCCGGAAAACTCTGAGGAGATATTTTTTTTCTTTTAAACATTAAGAAATTTGAGGATGATGGGGCAAAACGACTAACTCTCACTTTCCTGTGATTCCTTAGGCGGCAAAACTGTCAAAATCTGTGGTAAATAGCACCCCCACCCCGAACTTTCCTGTGGAAATAATTTCAACTTTTCCTGGACTGAGGGGCTAAAAGATTGGATTCTCAAATTGGTCAGTTCTTTTGTGCGTAGTCTTCCTGTGTTACCGTTTAGAGGTGATTGAAAGGCTCCTCAAAGGGCTTTGTTAGATTAAATAATAAATTCCGACGGTTTGGTCTTGGGGCCCCCTCACGGCCCCCCAAACTTTTCTCCCCCGACCAAAAATTAGAGAAATTAGACACAGACATGGAAACCATTTTATCATCATTTTGGTCCGCGAATCCCGTTCTGTAGATGGCCGAGAGGACGCTAGAAATCATTTGGGGTGACCATCGTTAGGATTTTCAGAAAAGCCTGTTCCCCCCAGAAAAAAAAAGGACCAGGGCTGAGTAAGGAAAACGGCGTTGAAAGAAGAGATGTTGAGTTTTTAAATATTGCCCGCCCCCTTTTCAGATTATTGTAGCAATTTAAATGCCTGTGGTGGGGTGGATGATGTAACTCAGCAGGCATAAATAAGCGCCTGCCTGGCCAGCGCAAGGTCCGGAGTTTGATCCCTGGTACCTCAAAAATAAAATAAATAATAATAGTAACAATAATAATATGCATGTGTCCTTAATATGGGTGACACTAAGGTCCCCTAGCACAGGGTCAGAACTCCCACTTTAACCATGAGGCCAAATCTATATTTTATTGTCATAAAAATGCTTTTAAAATGCCTACCTTGAAAAGTTACAAACTGAATTAGGGTTCTTCTATTAGTGGAATTACATGTAGCCATTAAAATATGTGTACTTGTTAAAGTTTGTTGGCATGAAAAGAAATCTTTATTTATTTATGTAGGCACAGTCTTCCTACATAGTGCAGGCTGCCCTTGAACTTGCTTAAATATCCCTGGCTGGCCCCAAACTTATGACAACCCTCCTGCCTCAGCCTCCTGAGTGCTGGTATTGTAGGTTTTGGCCACCATGCCCTGCTTCATAATTTAGAATGATATAAACACGAAACTGTTTACAAATACTTTTAATTGTATTTTTAAAAGTTTTTACATGTTACTCATGGAGTTTTAGTGATACTTTAAAACTATCTAGCCATGCTTAGTAGCATACACCTGTAATTCTAACATTTAGGAGGCTGAAGCAGGAGGATCACAGAAAGTTTGAGGCCAGTCTGGAATACATAGTGTGTTCAAGTCCAGCCTGAACTACATAGCTGAGAGTCTATCTCAAAAAATAAACAAACAAAACCAAAAACAAACCCAGTTACTTTAAATGGTCACCATGGGTATGGTTTAGAACTTTGTCAGGTTTTCAATTTTATAACTAAGTTAATATAAGTTGAAATGTAGCATTTTTTTTGAAATGTAGCCTTTTTAAATGGTTAATTTTAAAAGGTTACAAAATCTGATTTGCAACTCTTGATGAAATGACTTAGTTGTTACTTTGAAAATAAAGGGCTGTAGATTGGAATTATAATTATGTGCTATCTACATAAATACATACAAAAGTAATTTTCAGAACTAGAGCAATTAAAAAAAAAACTAGAGCAATAGAGTGACACAAAGTCACCACAGTACTATGACACATAGTATATGTTTAAAGAATGATTGTTTGTGGTCAGTGCTTTTAATAAATCATACTCTACTTCATAAGTTCCTTTTAGGAAATGTTGGTTTTTAAAATCAAGTCATATGAGCCCTTCCTAAAATTTACCAGTGACGGATATTAACAAAAAGTGGAACTGAAACCACAAATGGTGGCACATGCCTGTAATCACAGCATTCTGGGCTGTTCAGACAGGAGGATCACAAGGTGGAGCCCCAACTGGACTTTAGAAGATTGTCACAATTTTTTTTTTTTTTTCAGATTCGAAAACTGAACTCAGGCCCTTGTGCTTGCCAGGGAAGCATTTATTCTACTGAGCCATCTCCCTGCCCCCCAGCAATTTTTTTTTTTTTTTTTTTT